TATCCAAACAGAATAGTCGTTTATTGAATAAAATAAAATGTATGTCAAAATTCTAATATCAACCAGAATATTCACTTACTGAAAAGAATAAAATGTACATCAATATAAATATATTAAACCAGAATATTCACTTACTGAAAGGAATAAAATGTACATCAATATAAATATATTAAACCAGAATATTCATTTAATGAAAGGAATAAAATGTACATCAATATAAATATATTAAACCAAAATATTCATTTAATGAAAGGAATAAAATATACATCAATATAAATATATTAAACCAGAATATTCATTTAATGAAAGGAATAAAATGTACATCAATATAAATATATTAAACCAGAATATTCATTTAATGAAAGGAATAATATTTACGTCAAGGTTATTATATGATACCAGAATATTCACTTAATGAAAGGAATCAAATTTATGTCAAGGTTATTATATAAAAACTGAATATTCATTTAACGAAAGGAATAAAATGGATGCCTAGGTTATTATATTAAACAAAGTACTTATTTCTTGATAGGATTTAAATTATGTGAAACTTGTTTTTCTATTATAAAATGTTTTTATTATGAATTATAGAACACATATTACAATGCAATGTTTACAGGCCTGAGTAGCCCTGAAGAAATACAAAGACAAATATCCGTTAGTGCAATATGATATACATACACAGATGATTTTAGATAAGTTTTCGAAGTTCAGTGCGTGATATCTCACAAATATGGCATAGGGAGGTAGAATTACACTGATGCAAATATCGTAGTTGTGACATGTCACCAGAACTGCCACTTTTACATTATTATTATTTTTTTACATATTTCCTGTGAGTATTAATGGGCCTTTCGATCGCTTTGCAGCTCGTTCAACCAATAATAAAGTGACAGGTGTGCAACGACGAGAATTAGTGTAATGTTGTTACATCAAAGAATGCAATTCGGAAGTAGCTCTCAGGAAATACCGTAGAGGCATAACATCCGCAGAGAAAGAGGATCTTGTTCCAGTGTTGTGTGTGCAAGTTCATAAAGACGTCTGAAGAGACGAGTTGCACCTGAGATAAGTGCTGAGATAAGCAATACCGGTGCAGAACAAGACGGCACAAGTGCACATAAATGCAACAGTGCACGCTATGTCGTCGGGTCTCTGGATTTGCCCATTTCAACTGTCCGCAATGCTCTTCGGTCAACTTTGCGATTGTTTCCTCAAAGGCTGCACCATGTTCAAGCACTGAAGGAATCGGATTTATCTCGACGTGTCGATGCAGTTCTTGGCAAGACTAGAAGTCGATGACCAACACCCCTTTGGACTGATGAAGCACATTTCACCATTTCTGGAATTGTCAACACGTGCAACTGCATTATATGGTTGGATATTCCACATATAACGTTTCCTCCATACACCCACCCCCCATGATGCTAAGGTGACACTATGGTGTTGTTTCACAGCTGACTTTCTTATTATACTGTAATATTTTGAAGAACCATCAGCACATTTACTGCAAACCTCCACACTCAATGCTGCATCGCACGATGCAATGCTCACAACCATTGTGATCCTCATGCTGCATCAGCTAAGCATAATAGATACTGCGATTTTCATGCATAATGATGATCCTTTGCATATTGGTGGGTGCAGCATTTTCAGGACAGAGTCATTTCACGTCATTTAACTTGTGAATGACCACCTCATTAAATGGACCTAACACCAGCCGATTACTGATCGCGGGGGTTCCTGAAGTCACACTTATATCGTGGGAAACCTTGTACAATTCTAGACCCCCAAAAATGCAATTGTCTGAGAAGTGGTCAGCATACCAGATGTGAGGCACATTGTTGCTATATTGTCCGTTATCACATGGTTGCAATGCATATTTTGAACATTTGCTGTGATTGATCAAACGTTGAGTCATAGTGGCTTACCTGGCGGCAACATGACAAAGGTAGCAATTGCATCCCATAATACCCTTAACATAGTTACCATACTTGGGTAATTTCACCTTCTTCTACCATACTGTTGGTGAGATGTGACACGATGAATTATGAAACTTTATTTATAACAACACGCGCACACACAAACTTGGGAAAAATTGAAACGCAAACTAAGAGTTTCCATTATCAACTGTTTCCGAGTATAACTCATACAAAATCAACAACAACCTCATTTAGATACTATAATCTTCAAAATTAGATTCTTTCAACTCTGATTCATTTCTAAGATATACTTGCATTCAAGTCTTTGTTGCGTCTTGAGAATTTGAAATAATCCAAGGCCGCGTTAGATAATTTAACTTTTAATAGTTGAACTGTACCCTGGAGTTAGTGTTTAGAAATATGCCGATATTTTATTTTATTTATGCTATTCGCCAACCTTTTTTGTTTTGACACAAATACGTTTTAATAAATACATATACAACAGTATAATTTACAATAGCAACTATTATGATTAATTATTACAAACAGAGTTTTATAGACAGAATTTTCACTAACTTAGAAATAGCCTAAAACCGTCTTCCCAGTTCAGAGTCTCCTTGATATCCAGCGAATTGTACGTATATATAATTTGGCGGGAAGCTAGCTAGCTTTGTCAGGCACTGATTTGTTGGACCGTTGAAGTAAGATAATATTTTCCCAAAACCACTAATGTCCGATGAGAAATTAGTAATATTATTGTAGAGATATTAACGTTTGATGGGAATTCACTGACGTTCGAAATTTATAACTGTTCCTGGTCAAATATCGTATATTTTCCGGTTGATAGGGGTTAGCAAAATCACAGTTTATAACTTACACTGTTATAATAGTTTCGTAGTAGACTTGTCTCTTCTCTGTTCTCCGTTGTCTACTGTTTTTTGGCGCGATGCCGTGATGTTTTTATAGGTGAGACACATTTTTTAGAACCTTCTAATAATACCGGATACGGAAATGGATATATTGTTGATTCTTATATTCACGAATGTTCTATAATCTTGGAGAATTGGCGGGAGTTTCGCCATACATAACTAACAAATATAAACTTATTCGAAACAAACACTGACATTAAAATAAATATATCACAAATTCGTTATACGCAACACATACCCGATAATACAAGTCACGCATATTTCCAAATACAAATGCAATCCAAACAACGTTCATATCAAAAATAAATACATAATAATAAATTCGTTACATCTTAAACATACATACTGTCATTGAATATTTAGCTTTATTAGGAAATTGTCTCCAAAATGTCGAAACTGATCATCTCACACCATTGTTTATTGTGTTCAGTCTTGCACACAGTATACAGTATTGTTATGCCGAACGTATTCTCTAATTATGAATTGATTATTTATGGCAAAGTAAACTGAAACATTGTCAGGCAATAACTCGCTAAATTCACAATAGATAAATAGTGACAACTTCGATTTATAAGACTGACCCAATATCAGTAATTTGCTATGAATAAATAAATGTGTTCTAAGCTCCAAAATATTACAGATACACAGATGTTTAACATGGTTGTTCAACAATAGGAATACAATAATTATAATAAGGTAAAATCAGTATATAATATACCATCCTTAAAGTCATTCTTGAAAGAATAGACTGAAACTTCAACAGCACATCAACATTACGGTTTATCATTAGAATGTGAAAATTATAAGTTAAAGTTTCATTACAAATTTAGTTTTCGTACAGTTTACGTGTCATTAATTTGTACGGTGCAGTTTGTTATTAGGTGCTTTTGTCGTGACATAACTATCATATGCTAAACTAAAATATTAATTTAACTGGAGGAGTAAAATGTCATCGAGCATGTTCGATGACGGGGATCCGAACCCACGAGTATAATCAAGTTTAAAGGAGTAAAATGGGTCATTATAACAAACCAAAGAACTAATTTAATTGTATGTCAAGATTATTAGTTTTTTAGTGCGATGTATTTGGAATTAAATCTCATAAGTTTAGATATCAATACAATTATCTTTCTATCTTGGTGACCTCAGACACTGGTTACTTACTTAATACTTAAATAGGCTGATTTTTTATTGTTCCTTAACTATATAAGTTTCATGACAGTGAAGATTTCTGAGGAATGCCTTGTTCATACTCTGATTCAATAGTTATATTCAACAAATAATACATATTTGATAAAACTATAATCTTAAGCAGGATGTCCCGTTCGTTTCCTGACCCATTAGCTACGTCATTCACTTTTCATTAGATAATAAACACTGTATATATCATCTATGTCTAGCAATACTGTAGTTTTCGTATCAAACTGTATATGAAATGAATATAAAACGATCTAATACTTTCACATAATTAGGAATGTTCATAAATTAGTTTATTGATTAACTTTATCTATATTTACTATTTTTTACTTATTTTTAGATCCATTTTTTTTTTTTAGAGTGGCAACTTCTTTTAATGCATTTTTCAAAAATAATGGCCTACATTTTCACATAATGCCTTTTCTGATTTGTAATAATGGCCTACATTTTCACATAATGCCTTTTCTGATTTGTCCTTGGGCTAGGGGAAACAACGGGAATGGGAAACATTCACTCATCCGGCTCATTGAAGAAGCTTACGTTTGCAGTTTGTGTTCGAAACCAAAACAAAAAAAAACCTTCCTTTAGTCATCAAACCTTTCAAATACTGCGAATATTCTGCAGATTTTTTTTTCGGAGAGAGCTACTAATGATAACATTCTTTCCGAGTTGAATAATAATACTAAAAAGAATGAATTCTTCAGCTCTCCACATCTAATCGATAACAGTGATTTCAACGTGAGATCAACTTGTTACAACATAAAAATAGGATAATAAGATTGGGTTACAGAATACACCATGAAGGCAAGGAATAACGACAATGGATATAGCAGATATAGTGTGTTCGCATATTATTGTTCTTTACTTTCACTCATAAGATCTTATAAATAAGTACAATAACGTACATTATACAATCCTGGCATTTTACTGATAGTAAAACTTTCCATTATAACTTTAAAGTCAAAATTTAAAACTGCACATATATTTGCAGGTTGATTTTTGATACGTTCTACATTATTAGAAATATAACATTGCGGGTATATAAAACATCACTCTGTAAATATTCAACAATAACATTACAGTTGAAACATGCACTGTCAATATGTGCGTTTTTAAAAGACAGTACGTGTGTCTACGCTCCTGTTTCAGCCGTTGTGTTTTAGTTTTGATTCCTCAGAATTGCACGTTCTAAAACAAAACAGCTGTCCAATATTTAAGCTCGTTCTCTTACGTGTCATTACTTCTAACACTCCATTAGCTTTGAGGTATTTATTAATTATTCAACCAACCAGATTAATAATAACTACCTTGTTTTCGTCGAACACCCTAAACACCGACGAAGCGAAAGTGGCTGTATCCCCTTCTGGAAAAAACTGCTTGTATATTTTGAGGAAACTCTGGAAGTGGTAAGACAAAGTTGTGTTAAAAGAATCGCAAATAATTTCCAAAAAAAACATTTCAAGGTTGTTTAATGGTCTGACAAAGTATTTTATGAGTATGATTCATTTCACACCACTCAGATTTTTAGAAATATGCACCTCATCTCCAATATAAAAATACAAAATTCATAATTAAGCTGTTGATCTTTCAAGTCTTACATCACTCACTTCTGGATTAATGGCACACAAACATAACAATAAGAGTTAACTTAAAACTGTGATGTCAGAAATTAAAGTTGTGTGTATATACAAGTATAATATATTGTTTGTTTTAGAATCTTAGCGCAAAGGTGCACAAGGGCTAACTGCGTAAGCAGTCTCTAATTTTCAACTGATAGATTAGAATGAAGGAAACTAGTCAACAACACCAACCGCCAACTCTTGGGCTACTACAATCCAATAGTGGGATTTAACCGTCGCTCTTATAATTCACTCAAGGTATGAAGCATGATTTTTTTATATGTTATTTATATTTTTGCGGTAACAGGACGCGAATGATGGACACTTGGTTCCACAGTATGGTACGCTCACCACAAGCTGAAAGTATAAAAGAACTTGCTCATTTCCAAAAGTTACGACAAAATGTTAACATTCTGATATGTTCAAGTACAGAAATTATATAACCTTCTGATTGAAATTGATTTATGAATATTATATTCATATTTCACTTTTTAGCCGTGGCATAGCGGTTCATAGAATGGCTCCGAGTTTCTTTTCAAGTAAAAAGTTTTATCTCATAGCTCCATCTCTTGGCCGATTTGATATCTAATTACAGCCGCGGCTACTGAGGATTCCCTCTTGTTATTCTTTATGAAGGTACGAGGATAATTTTTTCCTTCTTAAGCACAAACACTACTTCGCTTAGAATTTCTCACAAATATTTATCAAATGTATTCTTCAAAAACTATCCAATCTACGCATCGTAGGTGAATTTGTAACAAAACGCTTTCACATATTTATTATTTTCGAGTGTAAACTACGTCCAAATTTTCAGTTTCACCAAGATTTGAAAACACCGAGTCGTGTATACAATTTCAGGATGTGTTAGCATTCCCAGGATGATACGGTAAGCTGGTTTTCCAAAAAGCAAATTGTTCTTTCAAGGAAGACTTCCAGAAAATTTAATCTTTGGTAAATTCCTAAACAAATGTGTTAACTGTATGTTATCAATGGCACAAAATCGAGCTAAGGCTTTTCTTACACGGGGGCTTCATCAAATATGTATATGCAGAGGTCGACCTGTAGTTACAGACGGCTTTCTTTAATGAATATCGCTTGTTACCTTTTAGTTTGTTTTGTTTTTGAATTTCACGCAATGCTACACGAGGGCTATCTGCGATAGCCGTCCCTAATTTAGCAGTGTAAGACTAGATGGAAGGCAGCTAGTCATCACCACCCACCATCAACTCTTGGGCTACACTTTTACTAACGAATAGTGGGATTGACCGTCACATTATAACGCCCCCACGGCTGAAAGGGCGAGCATGTTTGGTGTGACGGGGATTCGAACCCGCGACCCTCAGATTGCGAGTCGAGCGCCCTAACCACCTGGCCATGCCGGGCCTGTTACACCTGGCCATACCAGGCCTGTTACCTTTTTCCTTAGTGTTACGATAAGAAAGTTGTGATTGCAAGGGACTTTAAGGCACGACAAGAAAAAATAGTCGGTTTCGGACAAACTTTGTTTCTGCGGACTACAAGCTTCCCC